TTTTTTTTAATTTTTTAAAATTTATTTCTAGGAGAGAGAGAGACAGCGTGAGCAGGGGAGGGTCAGAGTGAGAGGGAGATACAGACTCTGAAAGTGGCTCCAGGCTCTGAGCTGGCAGTCAGCACAGAGCCCGACGCGGGGCTCGAACCCACAAACCGCGAGATCATGACCTAAGCGAAAGTCGGACGCTTAACCGACTAAGCCACCCAGGCGCCCCTGTGCCTGTCACATTACTGCCAATTCAAGTAAATCTGCTGATTGTTGTGAGGTTGTCTATTGTCCAGCTGCCATCCATGTCTCCTCAGCACTCTCAACAATAGCTAAATCATGGAAAGAGCCTAAGTGTCCATCAACGGACGAATGGATCAAGAAGATGTGGTTTATCTATACGATGGAATACTACATGGCAATGAGAAAGAATGACATCTGGCCATGTGTAGCAACGTGGACGGAACTGGAGGGTGTTATGCTGAGCGAAATAAGTCAGGCAGAGAAGGACAAATATCACATGTTTGCACGTATAGAAGGATTAGGAGGAACTTAACGGAGGACCATGCGGGAGAAGAAGGGGGGAAACGGGGAGAGAGGGAGGGAGGCAAACCATGAGAGACTCTTGAATGCTGAGAACAAACTGAGGGCTGATGGGGCTGGGGGGGAGGGGAAGGTGGGTGATGGGCATGGAGGAGGGCACTTGTGGGGATGAGCACGGGGTGTTATATGGAAACCAACTTGACAATAAACTATTAAAAAAATCTGAAAAAAATAAAAAATGCAGCCTGCAAAATCTGCTTTGGGAAATTCATTAGGGATTTCTCAGGGGCTGATAAATAATTGAATTTTGTAAATGTTTTATTACATAAGAAGTGAAAGTTGACTTTATCTAAGTTCTTTATATTATCCAAATGCTGTGTCTTTACTATTTGCCAACCTCATTTGTCCAAATTTTGAAAGAATTTTAAAACCTTCCATTATTTTATTTTTAAAAAATTTTCAAATGCTTCTTTTTATTTTTGAGAGAGACACAGAGCGAGCAGGGGAGAGGCAGAGAGAGAGGGAGACAGAATCTGAAGCAGGCTCCAGGCTCTGAGCTGTCAACACAGAGCCCGACGTGGGGCTCGAACCAATGAACTGTGAGATCACAACCTGAGCCAAAGTGAGATGCTCAACTGACTGAGCCACCCAGGCGCCCGTTTTTTTTTTTTTTTTTTTTTTTAAATATAAAGAACTTGGATTTCTGAGAGTTTATTTCATGTATCTGGCTGCTGTGATATTCAGTGCATATCTTCTCATGGAGTGAATCTGGCACTGTTCTAAAATGTACCCCCCTGCTCAAGATTTAATGATTTTTGATGTTTGGATTTATTTTGTCTCTCTTCATTTCTTTTTGTGTGCCTTTGCTTAGTATCTGGTAGGTGGCTCATCCTTTGATTTTTAGCCTCTCCTTGTCACTTTTAGACTTTTAGATGCTAGATTTTGTTTTCTAACTCAGTTTTGTTAGGGAAATTAACCTTTCTTTCTTTCTTTCTTTCTTTTTTTTTTTTGGAAGTAACTGATACCTGATTTTATTCTTTTCGTATCATTTCCATTATATTTGTTACATTTTATGCTTCGTTTCCTCTCTTCCTTCTTTTTCTTAGTTTTGCAGGCTGTGAAGTTTTTCTTTGTTTCCTCTTTTCCCCTTAGTTAATTGGGATTCTACACTTTTCAGTGCTTCAGGTGGTCACTTTTCCTGGGCTGAAAACTTCCCCCCCCCCCCCCCCCCCCCCGACCGGCCCCGACGCTGTTCCTCACCAGCTCTTCCCCTTGAACCCAGGGGAGGGCTTCACAATACTTTGATCTCCCTTCCCAGTTTGAAATTTAGGATTTTGCAGCATGTGTGGGTATCTTCTTAAAATCTCGAAGCTGGCTAGAATATGGGGAGCCCGGCTATTGCACGGATTTGGGTCTCTCTCAGATTATGTAAATTCCCCTTTATTATACCCCATCTGTAACTATTTCTCCTTCTGGAAACTCCCATTATTCACATTAGGTCTCTTAGATTTTTTTGTTTGTTTCCTTAGATGTATTTTTAAAGTCCCTTTTCCATCATGATTTCCATTTGAGCTTCCCCACCCTTGCCCTCTGGGTTCTGAGATGTTCCAGATCACAGATTTGGCCACCCCCAAGAAACATCCGTTGTTTTGTGTGTTTTTTTTTTTTTTTTTTGTCTGGGCTACGGCCTGAGCTTTCACTGTTGGTTCTTTAAAAATTTTTTAATGTTTATTTTTGTGAGGCAGAGAGAGAAAGCGAGCATGAGTGGGAGACAGGTAGAGAGAGAAAGGGAGACACAGAATCAGAAGCAGGCTTCAGGCTCCAAGCTGTCCGCACAGAACCTGATATGGGGCTCGAACTCACATACTGTAACATCCTGACCTGAGTCACAACAGTTGTAGGCTTAACTGACTGAGCCACCTTATTATTTTTAATAGTTTCACAGTATTCTATCTTACTGGTATACCCACATTTATTTGAGCAATCCCTAATTGATAGACATTTAGTTCAGTATTTGGCTATTATTGTTACAGTGTCCATCCCTTACACCCCTCCTTTGCCACATGTGAATCTACAGTATAAATTACTGGAAGCAGAAATGCTGGGTCAGAGGGTATGTGACTTTACCTCCCACAGAGGCTGTGCCAGTATGTGTCTGTTAGCAGTGTATTAGCTAGTTTTTCTGTAATGAATCATTTCCATACATAATCGAGACTATCCTGGCTATACGCATTTAATTTTAAACTTTACATTATATCAAAAGTATATTATCACATCAAAAATATTCATAAACAATAAAGTCCTTTAAAATGATAAATGGTCATTTTAGAAAGAGAACCTTACTAATTAGTAATTACCTTTTTTTTTAAAAAGAGCTCTACACCCGACGTGGGCTTGAATTCATGATACCCCAAGATCAGGAGTCACGTGGTCTACCAACTGAGCCAGCCAGGCACTCCAGTAATTACATTTTGGGTATATATCTCTACATATACACTTTTGTGTGTGTGTATACACACACACATATTTATTTGTGCATGTACGTGTATTTAAAGTTTTTTTAAGTTTATTTATTTATTTGAGAAAGAGAGCAAGGGAAAGGCAGAGAGAGTGAGAGAATCCCAGGCAGGCTCTGCACTGCCAGTGCGTATCCTGACCTGGGGCTCGAACCCACAAACTGTGAGATCATGACCTGAGCGGAAATCAAGAGTCAGATGCTTAACCGACTGAGCCACCCAGACACCCCTGTGTATGTATGTGTATTTTTAAAGTTTATTGGTTTACTTTGAGAGAGAGAGAGAGAGAGCAAGTGGGAAAGGGGCAGACCGACAGGGAGAGAGAGAATCCCAGGCAGGCTCTAAACCACCAATGCAGAGTCTAAGGCAGGGCTCAAACTCACAAACCGAGAGATCATGACCTGAGCTACAGTCGGATGCTTAACCGACTGAACCACCCAGGCGCCCCTGTGTATGCGTGTATATTTAACTAAAATGGGACTGTACCATTCCTAACTTGCTTTCTAAAATCCTTGCTACTAAATATGACTGTATCACTGGATTTTTCTAATTTTGTTATTATAAATAATACTCATCATGGCTTGAGCCAAAATCTGACGCTTAACTGACTGAGCTGCCCAGGCGCCCCGAGTAGGGCTACTTTATAAGTTCGTACCACATAATGAGGCTTGCAGTCCAGAGAGGCTGGCTCGCTGCCAGCAGTAGGCCAGGAGGCAGCCTGGCCCCACGCGCTAACCAGCATCAGTGACTTATTTCTTGTCACTGTGGAGGCTATTAGGAGCTTCTGACAGATTAAGTAGACAGAAAACATAACCAGATTTGCATTTCGATTCCAGCATCAGGGCCTGATAGCCACGTCGTCCCATTTGGCCCCAGGAGGCGTTCAGGAGAGCTCCTGTGAGGTCTCTGACCTGTTGCTATGGAGACGGGCCTGCAGGCAGGCAGAGAGGCTACCCACTGGACACTGCACACCGGGAGCCTTTCTGTGTTGGGACTTGAGCTTGTATTAGTCCCTCTGCTTTATGCCTACTTACTCCGTGGATCTCAGAATACCAGCAGCTCATCCTTCCTGAGCACCAGCTGCGTGCCCGACCCTTTACCACACGTCTTCCAGGCATCATCTCCTCCGGGGTGGGTACCATTACGGCCCCCTCATTTTGCAGATGAGAGAATGGAGGCAGAGAAAGGTCAAACGCCTTACCCAGGGTTATACTGCTGGGAAATCTGGCCTCACACCCAGGCCCACCAGTACACGGAGCTCCAGCTCTTAATGGGTGAGCTTCTCTGCCGCCACCTCCCTGGGCCAGTAGCTGGACTGTGGGAGTAGCTTCCAAGCTGGACGCCTCGGAGCGCTTTTGTTTGTAGCACAATTTTAAGACATCCATTTTTTGAGTGTTAAAACACACACACACACGCACACACACACACACACAAAACACAAAGAAAAAACAGGAGAAAACCAGTTCCAGATTTGTCTTTCTGCTTCCCCCTGAAGACCGGGAGCTGAGATGTTTGACTATAAGCTCCTTCAGGCCAGGACCCCACACATAACATGCTGGGCACAGTGTTCAGGCCTTGGGAGTCCTGGTCAATTCAAAGACTGTGATGTTAAATGGAGAACTTCCTCTAGAGTCAAATCTGATACATAGGCCACAATGTTAATCAAAGGAATTATGGTTGAACGAGTTCAATATTTTGTGTGTGTGTGTGTGTGTGTGTGTGTGCGTTGTGTGGGGTCGGCCTGCTTTGGAAATGATGTAAAAATACTGAGGGGCACCTGGGTGGCTCAGTTGGTTGAGCATCTGACTTTTGCTCAGGTCATGATCTCTTTCATGGGTTTGAGCCCCACGTCGGGCTCTGTACTGATGGCTCAGAGCCTGGAGCCTGCTTCAGATTCTGCGTCTCTCTCTCTCTCTCTCTGCTCCTCCCCTGCTCACACTCTGTCTCTCTGTCTCTCTCTCTCACACAAGACAAATAAATGTTAAAAATTAAAAAAAAAATACTGCATCAATGCATCCGTGAAGTGATGATGTCAGCGCACTTTTACCTTCATCTGTAATCCCGGCAGGCTCTGTGCTCGGTGTTTGACATACATTGTGTCCTTACATAACCTGTTTTTCACAAGAACTTGAGGATCTAACGGGATAGCTATTATTATCCTTGGTTGGTTTGGTTTTGGCTGCTGTGGCTTCTTTTTTTCCCCCCCCAGATGAAGAAGCTCAAGCTTGGACAACCAATTGGCCCACAGGGCCCCGTTTGTGACAGGCTCCCAGCGCGGATGAGCAGAGCTCTGGAAAGGCCTCCTACCCTGGAATCTCCCTGGGCTCAGGGAGGTGAGCCAGCTCACGGCCAGGCCCCGGGCTTCCTGGCCTCGTTCTGCTCCCTTTCTTCTGTGGCCCAGAAAAGTCTTCAGGCTTCAGAGGAAGTGCAGAGAGTTGATTCTCAGGTACCTGGAGAAGAGCACGTAGAGGCGGCGGAACCAGAGCAGCTGGCTGCGGTGGCAGGACATGGCCTTCTAGAAGAATCAGAGAGGACCAGTTAGGAAACTCTTGCACTGGGGCAGTTTCTGTTATGTTCACTTCTGCCTTGTGCACCCACGAACACGCCTCGCGCTGTAGCCGAATGTGGCTTCTTCCCGTGGCCTCCACTCACTGCCTCCCATGTCACATCTCTCACTTAGAACCACGTGATAAAAATCCCAGGATACCAGTGGCAGCTCTAGCACCGCGTCTCCATGCGTTATCTCAGTTTGAAAACCCTGTGAGTTAAGTAGTTACTAGCGCTTAAGAAAAAAATTAATGGATGAGGAAACTTGTCAGTCTCAAATGGCTAGTACTTAGCGGAGCTGATATTTGAACCCAGAGCCATCTGAATGACTCTGAAGCCTACATTCTTAATTACGTTGCTTTGCTATGTCGCATATATAACACACACATGGATGTTTTGTGGGAAGCAAGCTAGAATACTATGCATATATAACACAAATGGATGTCGCATATATAACACACACGGATGTTTTGTGGGAAGCAAGCTAGATACTATGCTCAAACTCTTCTGAATTAGGTAAGCTGGGAGGAAGAGGAAGAGAAGAAAAACGAATACGCATAGATATGGAGTGCCTGGGTGGCTCAGTCAGTTAAGCATCTGACTTTTGATTTTGGCTCAGGTCATGATCTCACGGTTTGTGATTCTGAGCCCCACAGGTAGAAATCACAAAATAGAAAACTCTTTTTTCTTTTTTCTTTTTTTTTAAATGTTTTATTTATTTCTAGGAGAGAGAGAGAGACAGCATGAGCAGGGGAGGGTCAGAGAGAGAGGGAGTCACAGACTCTGAAACAGGCTCCAGGCTCTGAGCTGGCAGTCAGCACAGAGCCCGACGCGGGGCTCGAACCCACGAACCGCGAGATCATGACCTGGGCGAAAGTCGGACGCTTAACCGACTAAGCCACCCGGGCGCCCCAGAAAACTCTTTTTTCACCATCCTAACCATTTATGGTTCTGTAAGGCTTAACCATATTCACATTGCTGCACCCAGGTGCCCCAAGGTGTAGCTTTTCTTAATCCATTCAAATGCCACAGACATTTGGGCGTGCTCCTACCTGATGCCTATTGTGTATAATGCTGCAATGAACATGGGTGTGGAAATATCTCTTCAGGACCCTGCTTTCAACTCTTTTGGATATAAACCCAGTAGTAGGATTGCTGGATCATATGGTAATTCTATTTCCTTTTCCTTTTCCTTTCCTTTCCTTTCCTTTCTTCCCTCCTTCCTTCCCCCATTCCTTCTTTCCTTCCTTCCATTAACTTTCATTAAGTAAATTCTACCCCCCACATGGGACTTGATCTCACAACCCTGAGATCAAGAGTCACATGCTCTACTAATCAGCCAAGCACCCTGTATTTACTTTTAATTTTCTTATTCTTAACATAATTCAGGTGTTCTGAACTTGGTCAAGAGGAAACAGTAAATCATGCTTCCTGTTCCAAACACATGGCAATGACCGAGAAAAATGCAAAGAGACACCAGTGGGTCAAAACTAACACCAAGAGCACCAAGAATTTGGACAGAGGTTTGAGAGGCCAAAGCAGAGGATTACTGGCTCAAGGGGTCAGAGCAAAGAGGTGGCTGGGAGTTCTGCTTCTGACGGTGTCAGTGCCGGGACCCTGCTGGGGGGCAGGGGCTCCCTCATCAGATTAAGAGGTTGGGGGGGGTGCGGGAAGGAATGCTGCCCATTGCTTTGAGAGCAAGCTGAATGCTTTGAGAGCAGCATGGAACTGAGTTACCTGCTGGCTCTGCGACTGGAACCGGCAGTGGTGACCTGATTCTGGCCTTCAAGCAATTGCAACCTCTCTAGATACGGAGGGGGAGCACAGAGGAAGAGGGGAACACCATCCCCAGAGTCAGCCTCCTTGCCCCTAGTTTGCCAATCAGAATTCCTGAAGACATGACGTAATGTGATGCAAAGAAAGAGATCTAACAAAATTAGCAACTAGACCACGAATACATTTTAGATGAAGATAGTTTAATAGAACACTTTGTCAAAGACATTTTGGACATTCAAAGAGCTAAGTGGGAGGAAAACCAGCATAAAGAATAAATTATCGGAGGCGCCCAGATGGCTCAGCTGGTTATGCGTCTGACTTTGGCTCATGCCGAAGCGTCAGCTCAGGTCATGATCTCACAGTTGTGAGATTGAGCCCCTTGCCGGGCTCCCGGCCAAGCGTGGAGCCTCCTTGGGATTCTCTCCCTCCTTCTCTCTCTGCCCCTCCTGCTTTCATGCACATGCGTTCTCTCTCTCTCTCAATAAAAAAGAATAAGAAATTATGAAATTAAGGGGCGCCTGGGTGGCTCAGTTGGTTAGGTGTCCAACTTCGGCTCAGGTCATGATCTCACTGTTCCTGGGTTTGAGTCCCGTATCAGGCTCTGTGCTGACAGCTCAGAGCCTGGAGCCTGCTTCGGATTCTGTGTCTCCCTCTCTCTCTGCCCCTCCCCCACTCATGCTCTGTCTCTCTCTGTCTTAAAAATAAGTAAACTTAAATTTATTTTAAATTTAAAAAATTAAAATAATTTAAAAGAAATTATGAAATTTTAAAAAATGGAAGTGAAACAATAGGTGGTCATAAAATAAAAAAGATGTTTTGGAAATGAAAACAAAATATGAAACAGAGAACAAATGTGAAAGAACAGTTATGAACACAAAGCATAGATTAAGAATTCTCAAGGAGGGGGTGCCTGGGTGGCTCAGTCGGTTAAGTGGTTAAGCGTCTGACTTCAGCTCAGGTCATGGACTCGCAGTTTGTGGGTACCAGCCCTGTGTTGGCCTCTGCTGACAGCTCAGAGCCTGGAGGCTGCTTCAGATTCTGTGTCTCCCTCTTTCTCTGCCCCTCCCCTACACACGCTCTGTCTCTCTCTCTCTCAAAAATATCATGCTCTCAAAAATAAACATTAAAAGGGGTGTCTGGGTGGCTCAGTTGGTTAAGTGTCCGACTTGGGCTCAGGTCATGATCTCATGGTTTGAGCCCCGCGTCGGGTGTAGAGATAAATAAATAAAAGAAAAAAGATTTAGAGTCCTCAATATATATTCAGTAGGAATCCAGGAAGAGAATGGAGGGAACTTCACACAAGTGCCATTTGAAGAGATAATATGTGAGGAGTTTTGAGAATTGCCAACAGACAGAGGTCCCCAGGTTGAGAGTACGAGGCAGAATAAACACGAGCAAATCTGCCCTAGACATACGGTAGTAAGACCGTGGAACCCAGAAACACAAAGATAATCTGAAACGTTAACATAGAGGAGATGAACTGCACATGGGTAATAAGATTACAATGACAGCTTCCCGTTGCAAAAGGGTAAGGATGGGAGTTATACCTTCAAACACCTTTGCAGAAGGAATATAACTCAAACTTAGCCTTTATTTCCAGCTAAACTCCTTCAGATGAGGATGTGCGAACACTCGAAGGCTAAGAGATGTTGCCTTCCTTAGACCCTCACTAAAAAAATGCTGGAGGACATGTATCAGCAAAAGTGAGCCCAGAGACGTGGGACACAGGACACAGGGAGGGCCAGGAAACTCGTATGTATCAGTACTGATATTATAAAGTACAGTAACCAAGTGGGGCAGAAGCGATCAATGAGCAATTAAAACCTGCTAAAGTTTGGTGGCAGGGTAGACAAATACTGATTGCTTTGAATTCTATGGTTATGAATCATATTACAATTTTAGGGGTAACCACAGAAATACCAAATAAGCTTCCAAAACAGAGGGGGAGAAAGCAGGGAGAGGGGCCATGGAAAATCTGACCAACCCAGCAGAGGTCAGGAAAAGGGCAAGGGGGGTGAGGGGCGTGCAGATAATGGTAAACAGAAAACACAAAATAAGAGAATAGGAAAAAAGTCCAAATATATCAATAGTTACAAATAAAAATAAACCAAACATACCCACTTGATTTCATAGCACCCTTGTGGTGAGCGTAGCATAAGGTATAGAGTTGTCGAATCACTACGGTCAACTATACCTCAATAAAAGAAAAGGTATTTCATAGAAGGATTAAGAAAAAAAAATCCAACTATATTATGCTGCTTATAGAAAACATACCTAAAAATGACAACCAGTGATTAAAAATAAAAATAAAGGTATTAAAAAACCCCACACTGGGCATGGTGCCTACCTAAAGAAAAAAAAAACTATTAAAAAAAGATGAACCATGTAGATACAAGTTCAAAAAAGCTGTTATAGCAATGTTAAGATTAAAACAGAATTTAAGACAAAGCCATTAATAATGAGGGACATAAGATATTAAAAGGAATAGTCTGCTAGGAAGATACAATGACCTTGATCTTTTTGTGCACAAAACAGAAATAAAGCAAAAACAAAGACAAATGGACCAAGTATATCAATAGTTACAAATAAAAATAAACTCAGGGTAGGAGATCTCAACATACTTGTACCATAAAGTAATAGATCAAAAAGTTAAAAAAGTAGTTAGAATACACAAGTGTGGCCAACAGAAGTACTGAGCTTCATTCACTGGTTAGATCTAGAGTCTGAAATGCAAACCATGCATCACACACAAACTTCTTAGGTAAATGTCAACACTTTCAAAAACTGATCATAAAGTAGGTCATTCACTAAGGAGTTCTCAGTAAGTCTTTAAAAAACAGTATTACACAGGCCACATGTAATGACCAGAAAGCAGTTCAATTATAAGTCAACAATAAAAAGGCCATATATTGATTCTAGTTATGTTCTATAAAGTTACTGTAGACACTTGACTTTTTCAATACTGAGTCATTGTTCCTGAGAGCCTCTGGTCACAACTTTTTCATCAACCGATCAACACATAACCCTGGTTTTTGTTTTTGTTTTGTTCTGTTTTTCTGAGAGAGAGCATGAGCAGGAGGGGGCAGAGATAGAGAGAAAATCCCAAGTGATGCAGGGCTAGATCTCATGACCCTGGGATCATGACCTGAGCTGAAATCAAGAGTAGGACGCTCAACTGACTGAGCCACCAAAGCGCCCTAACACATAACCTTGTTTTATGGGTGTTTCTGTTTAAAGACACCTTATTCCATATTAGGTTATCAGTTCATTAGTACTTTCACAGCTAACAGGGCTATAACTCATGCGAGAATGAAGCTTATCAAACATGTACATTCTCTGTAAGATACATCATAGCTTTCGCGCCCTTAGAATCATTAGGCTTCAATGCCACACTTAGAATACATTTTAAACAGCAGTCACGAGGCCTGGGTGGTTCAGTTGGTTAAGCATCCAACTTTGGCTCAGGTCATGATCTCTCAATTCATGGGTTCGAGCCCCTCGTCGGGCTCTGTGCTGACAGCTCAGAGCCTGGAGCCTACTTTGGATTCTGTCTCGCTCTCTCTGCCCCTCCCTCACCTTTCTCTCTCTCAAAAATAAAATAAACATCAAAAATATTAAAAAAATAAAAATAAGTGAACAGCAAAGTCACCAACAAAAAGCACAAAAATGAGAACAATGCGGCACTAAATACCTTGGGAAAGGATACTTGTGTACAGTAGGAGACTTCTGAAACCAGAAGTCAGGGGGTCACCTTGTCCAACAGCTGGGAACCTGTGAGTGTGCACTGGTGGCAACATAAAACTTTTCACTCCCTTACACATATGCATGTCCACAAATGACCACAAAAGCACCTTGAGTATTAATTCTGGCGTTACAAGTAAATTTTAGCAAGTAGGTGCATGTGCAAATGTGGAACCTGTTGGTAATGACGATCTACTTTACCTGTATGCACATATGCATTTTAAACTCCAAAACACGCCCTTAAACACCTCATGTATTAAAGAGGAACTCACAATGGGAACCATAAATTACTTACAACTGAATGCCAGGAGAAACAGTTTGTATCAGAACTTGTTGGATGCAGCTAAAGGAATACTTCAAGGGAAATTAATACTATTGAAGTGTATTATTTTAAAAGACTGAAAACGGGGGCGCCTGGGTGACTCAGTAGGTTGAGCGTCCGACTTCGGCTCAGGTCATGATCGCACGGTTCGTGGGTTCGAGCCCCACGTCGGGCTCTGTGCTGACAGCTCAGAGCCTGGAGCCTGTCTTCAGATTCTGTGTCTCCCTCTTTCTCTGACCCTCCCCCGGACCATGCTGTCTCTCTCTCTCAAAAATAAATAAAACATTAAAAAAATTTAAAAATTAAAGACTGAAAATGGGAAAATAAATAAAAAGACTGAAAATGGAAAAAAAAAAAAGGCCAAGAAAGTAAAAAAAAAAAAGTGTCAGGGCACCTGGGTAGGTCAGGTGGGCGTCAGACTTCGGCTCAGGTCATGATCTCATAGCTCATGAGTTTGAGCCCCACATTGGGCTTTGTGAGTATTGATCTTGAGGTTGTAAGTTCAAGCCCCATGTTGGGCATAGAGATTACTTAAAAATAAAATCTTTAGGGGTGCCTGGGTGACTCAGTTGGTTAAGCGTCCGACTCTTGATTTCGGCTCAGGTTATGATTTTGTGGTTTGTGAGATCAAGCCCTGAGGCAGGCTCTGCACAGACACAGCATAGAGCCTGCTTGGGATTCTCTCTCTCCTCTCTTTTTGTCCCTCTCCCTGTTCATACTCTCTCTCGTGTATACACAGACACACTCCTTCTTTCTCAAAATAAATAAACATTTCAAAAAGATAAAAATAAAGTCTAAAAAAAACAGAAAAGAAAAAGAAAAGAGGTGAAAGTCCTTGAAAACCTATGACTGCCAAGGTCTAGCTAGATACTCCTAAAACTCAGATGCCGAGTGGAAGGTCTTCGTTTAAGGGCCATGAGGAGCTGGGGGGGGGTGGGGGTGGGGCTGGGACACAGATCTAGAGAAAGAGGGTCCAGGAATTCACAGTCCTCACCTTGGCCTGGGCCACTTCCTTGCTGGTGAGCACGAAGAGGACATCCGGGGGCTGAAGCAGAGAAAAGGGCATGTCCAGAAGCGAGAGATACTTGCGTAACACACTCACTGACTGTAGCATGAGGGCGGAGCATCCTGGTTGGGGGGTAGGGGGAAGGGAGAAGTAGTGAAAAGTCTTGTCACTTCCAGGCAGATTTTCCCTGAGCACCCTCCCTACGTCTCCCTTGGGGCTCAGGGCAGGGCGGGCCCTTGGCCATGGAGTTGCCAGATGGCTCTGTAGCACCAAAGCTTCTCTTGGCCCATCATCCTCATGGACAGGAAGATGAAAGGGCCTCAGCACACCTGGCTGGGTGTCCGCTACTTGCCACATGCCTTAGCTGGATAAGGTTGGTTGCTAGAGGTTGAGAACTGGCTATATCAAGGTCAAGGGAAAGGTGATGAAGACCAGAATTTCTGTCTTGGGAGGCAAGAGACCTACTTCCTACTCTGGTGCTCAAGACTTGACAGGTCTTAGGAAGTCCCTTCAGCTCTCTGACCCTCAGTCTTCTCATCTGTAAAATGGTGTTGACAGTGTGGGAGCCTGTCTCACAGTGTTGACAAAACAATCAAATAAACTACAGTTCGGTTCCAAAGCCCTCACAGCATGGTAAGCTCAGCCTGCTCAGAGGAAGCACACTCTACTTACGTTTTCGTTGCTTCATCTTCATAAAACTCCTGAGGGATGTATAAGACTCCCCCTGACAGACCAGAAACTGGCTCAGAGAGGTCAGTGTTGCATAGTGAAAGGCCAATTGGGCTCAAACACCTAACTCAAGCAGCCAAACTCATCAAGCACCTATCAGCCATTGACAAGTAATTAGGGGCTGGGATATGAGTTCAGACAGAAAGACTGAAAGAACTCTGGAGATGAAAAAGCCCCACCTGGTGAGAAAGCTAGACAGATGAGCAGCCAAGGCTCAGTGCCATGGTTAATTTTCTGTGTCAATTTCACTGGGTCACAGGGTACCAAGATACTGGACTGCACATTATTTCTGGGTATGTCTGGGAGGGTTTTTCGGGATGAGATTAGCATTTAAATCAGTGGCCTCAGGAAAGCAGGTTGCCCTCCCCAATGTGGGTGGGTGTAACCCAATCCATTGAGGGCCTCAATAGAAGGAAAGGTGGATGAAGGGAGAATTCCTTCTTTTCTGCCTATTGAGCTGGGGCGCCAGTCCTCTCCTGCCCTTGGCCTGGGATTTACACCACTGGCCCTCCTGCTTCTCAGGCCTTTGGACCCTACTGCCTAGCCCACCAGGTTCCTGGGTCCCCAGGTTGCAGAGACGCCAGACTGTGGGACTTCTCAGCCTTGGTACTTTCATGAGCCAAATCCTTATCATACGTTTCTTTCATATATGTACCTCCTGTTTGTTCTGTTTTTCTAAGCCATCTGGCCTCCCCTCACACCCAGAGGCTGCCTGGCTGGCAGGGGACTTCCCAATGGATACAACCTGTTTTTAAGGCCTGAGGACCCACACTGCCAGACACAGCGAGCTGGGTCAGAAAGAATGCGATCCAGCCTCCCCAGCCCCACCTTTGCGTGGCCTATGGCAGTTTTCCGTATATTTACACATTTTGCCCAGTAAGCGTTTTTTAGAGAGATAGTAACTAGCAGACTTTTGCAAAAGGAATGACTTACCTTTAGGTAACTTCCCTTCTGAGTGCAGGGTCCTGGAGGAGGAAAGGACAGGAGTGAGAAGGAGCAAGAATTCTTTTCTTAACAGGAAGAGCCTTCAGAGTGTAGAGGTCAAGGGCAGGCCTCTCCAACATGGGCCACAACGGCATGTAGATTACTTTGAGTTAAAAGCAATCAAATGCCAGCAAATTGAGGAAAACTGCTTTACACCCCCCTCAACCACCTACATTTACACTGGAAAGGGGGCCTGTACCAGGAAGAGAACTAGTCAAAAAGATTCCTTTTTACCTAAGAAACTTATCTGCATAACAGGGAAACCTTTGTTTTCTAAACATCTCCTCTCACCTTCCTGCTAATGTTCTTCCTCTTCTTTGTTCTGGCCTGTACCCCCAGACTCCCACCCTCCTCCTGAGCTGAGGATAACATATAAGCCTCAGGTTGCCTGACAGTCTTTGGAATTGCATGTTTGTGTAGATTCTCCATATGACAAAATTAAGTTTGATTTCCTCCTGTTAATTGTCTTGTGGAAATTTAATTCTTGGTCTAGCTAGAAGAACCTTGGACAGAGGAAAATTTCTTCCTCCCCAACAGTATTAAGGCCTGCCACACCCTATGATCCTTCTGTAGGTTTCTAGATAGTTGCCATTGCATCAATCACCAAATAGGGTTCTGGGATTAGATACCTCTGACTACAGCTAAAGGGTGGGCACCTTGCCCAAGGTCAGGCAATCTGGGGGGTGACCAATGGTTACGAAGTGTCCTGGTCCAAGCTTTGCCCATTAGAGATGAAGGTAACTACAATGGACTCTTCCAAGTTTTTCTCTTTTGAAATTGTAACATGAGTATGGTGGGAGACTATCTTTCCTGATAGTTCTTTTTTCTTTTTGACCTTCCCTGCTCCCACCTTCTGACTTCTGCACTCCCTGTCTTAAGAGGAAAGCGGGGCCAATCCAGCAGCTATGAACTCTAAATCTCTTGCCTGCTTTGGTTTGAAAGTGAAGGGATGGAGACAGATGGGGTAGGTAGTCCCCATCGTACCACCAACACACAGACAACATGCTCCTAATGAAATGGATTCCAGTTCTGCTTCTGCCATTGTTGAGCCTGGCAGTGCTGGGAAAACCACTTCACATCCCCAGTTAAGTTTTTTTTTTTTTTTAATATTTTTATTTATTTCTAGGAGAGAGAGAGAGAGAGAGAGACAGCGTGAGCAGGGGAGGGTCAGAGAGAGAGGGAGTCACAGACTGAAACAGGCTCCAGCCTCTGAGCTGGCAGTCAGCACAGAGCCCGACGCGGGGCTCGAACCCACGAACCGCGAGATCATGACCTAAGCGAAAGTCGGACGCTCAACCGACTAAGCCACCCAGGCACCCCCACATCCCCAGTTAAATGAGATGGTTGGACTTAAGGATAGGTGAGATTGTTGGGGCGCCTGGGTGGCTTAGTCGGTTAAGCGTCCGACTTTCGCTTAGGTCATGATCTCGCGGTTCGTGGGTTCGAGCCCCGCGTCGGGCTCTGTGCTGACTGCCAGCTCAGAGCCTGGAGCCTGTTTCAGTCTGTGACTCCCTCTCTCTCTGACCCTCCCCTGCTCACGCTGTCTCTCTCTCTCTCCTAAAAATAAATAAAACATTAAAAAAAAAAATTAAAAAAAAATAATAAGATGACTTGGGAGCGATTTTTCACAAGAGAATGTGGTGGATGTAGTGAGCAATGTGGCCAACAGTGGCTCTCTGTAACTCAGTGGTCACTTTCATGGGGCCCAGGCACCGAGTGGGGAAGTGCTTTAGAAACCATCCATCGTGGGGCACCTGGGTGGCTTAGCTGCTTAAGCATCTGGATTTGGCTCAAGTCGTGATCTCGTGGTTCATGGGTTCAAGTCCCGCATCGGGTTCTGTGTGACAGCTCAGAGCCTGGAGCCTGCTTCAGATTCTGTGTCTCCCTCTCTCTGCCCCTCCCCTGCTCATTCTCTCTCTCTCTCAAAGAAGAAATAAATATTTTTAAAAAATTGGAAACATCCATCCACCCTGAGCAAAGGAAATGACCCTCTTCCACCTCCACCATGCGGAGAGTCCTACCTCACGGCCGCATACAGAGCAACGTGATTGCTGTGACCACTTACTCCCCCTGCATCGAAAGTCACCACCTGGAGAGAAACACAGGGTTTTTACTCATGCCTGAATGCTCTCTCTGCCTCAAGTTCAAGGCAGCCGTCCCCATTCCCCTGGGATGAAAGGAGTGCACAGAACTCTGGAGCGTTTGCAATTCTGAGTACCCCTGAACTCACTTCGGAGCAGATGGGTGGTGTGTAACCATTGCTTCGGCCAGCTGTGTGGGAGCTGTTTCTGCGGGTTTTACTGTTCACTCTTGTTCCAGGCCAGTGGAGCAGAGTGGAATTCAGCCACGTCGGGAACCTGAGTTCAGGGTATCTCTGTTTCTTATCTGCCTGGCCATTTATTAGCACAGTTAGTTTTCTTGGCCGGCTGCCGTGTGAACTTTGGGCATGTGGACGCTGCCTGATTTATTTGGCTTCCTTTCCTCATGTCAAACTGAGGGCACAGAGCCTGAGGGCACCATGCCCTGGGGTCAAAATCACGGAAGTGTATTTACTCATGGACTGCCTCTGTATCATCTATTTTTAAACATTTTTTAAAACGTTTATCCATTTTTGAGAGATGGAGAGAGACAGCGCATAAGCGGGGGAGGGTCAGAGAGAGAGAGAGACACAGAATCTTAAGCAGGCTCCAGGCTCTGAACTGTCAGCACAGAGCCTGACGTGGGGCTTAAACCCACAAACCGTGAGATCACGACCTGAGCCGAAGTTGGATGCTTAACTAACTGAAACATCCAGGCCCCTTTATTTAAAAAAATTTTAAATAGGCTCTGTGCCCAGCGTGCAGCTCAATGTGGAGCTTGAACTTGGCCCTGAGATCAAAACCTAAGCTAAGATCAAGAGTTGGACACCTAACCAACTGAGCCACCCAGGCACCCCTAAAAGAGAATTTAAAGTCCTGTTAACTGGTCCTGATTCAAACAAGTAAAAATAAACACAAAATAGAAACATATTTATGGTATGAGACTACTGGAAATCTAGAACACTGATATTAAGGAACTGTGAAATTTTTGTGACAATGGCACTATAGTCACATTATTATGGGGCTCAATGTCTATTAAAATGCAAGCTAAATAACTTAAATATGAAATGTGATGCCAAATATTTGGTTCTAAATAATACAGGAGGTAGGAGAGGTGAACAGGTGTTTAAATGAAACTAATGTTGACTGTGAGTTAATAATTACAGAATCTGAGTGATTCATTAACTGAGAGGTTTATTAAACTATATTCTCTACATTTGCATGCTAGAAATTCTCCCTAATAGAAAAAAAAAAAAAAAAGTTAAAGGCTTATAAAAAGCCAATCTTGGGGGCACCTGGGTGGCTCAGTCACGTGAGTGTCAGACTCTTGAATTCAGCTTAGGTCATGGTCCCAAGGTCGTGGGATGGAGCCCTGCATTGAGCTCTGCCCTGAGCCTGCCTGGGATTCTCTCTCTTTCTCCCTCTGCCCCTTTCCCCTACTTGTCAGATCTCTCTCTCTTAAAAAAAAAAAAAAAAAAAAATGCAGGAGTGCCTGGGTGGCTCAAATGGTTAAGTGTCTGACTTCAGCTCAGGTCATGACCTTGCCATCTGTGAGTTCAGGCCCCGCGTCCGGCTGTGTGCTGACAGCTCAGAGCCTGCTTGGGATTCTCTGTCCCCCTGTCTCTCTGCCCCTTCTCTGCTCATGCTGGCTCTCTCTCAAAAATAAATAAACATGAAAAAAAAATAAGGTATAATAACTCAGTTCACTTAGTGAATTCAGCATTGATAAAAGCCTAACACGTTTTTGTGCCAGTGGGACTTATCAAAACTTAAACCAAAAGATTAGGGCTTTAAGTGGTAGGATTTTAGGCATTAACCCATGCGGGATTATTATTATTATTGTTATTATTATTATTACTTCACAAGTGGACAGTAAGCCTTCTCAAGAGCCTTAACATCGATCACTGGCGACGGCCAGTCCGGACGATCTTGGTGGAGCTGAGATGGGGGCCCCCACACTTGTTTACCTCTGCAAGTAAGCGGGAATCTCCACCATTGCCCTGTCTGTAACCACAATGCTCTCCTTGTAGTGCAAGTGACTTTGCCCTTATTTTTTGGGGTGAGAAACTAGGTTTAAGACCCTAGTAGCTTTACCACCTGCTGACCTTGGGCAAGCTCCTCGGCCTTGGAAACCCGTTTCCTCCATGACAAATGAGAATTATAACATTTACCTCTTAAAGTTAAAATGGCCCTCTAAACGGGATAATGCTTGGCGAAAGGCGAAATTCTGCACAAACAGGAGTTATACATAGCACAGGTTCTGGGGGCCCTGGGTGTTTAGGTGCTTGGACAGAGGTTGGGGGTGGGGATGGTTAAGGAGGGCACAGTTTGGAAAAAAAAACTCTGCCTCTATCTGAGCTTGCTAATTTGGTTCCATGGTCTCACAAAAGGTGTGTTTGTTGCTCCGAAGATTGAAAAGAGAGCTCTGGCGGGCGGGCGGGCGAGTTGGGGACTCTTTTTGAACCCTCTTGGAGAAAGTCTGGATGGGGGAGGGCAGCCATAGTAAAGGTGTGACCGGGACCCCCCACTTTGCATTTTGGGAGGGCGTCCCCTTACCAGATTGATGCTGTTCTCTTCTATGTGCTGGAGGAGGGTGCTAGCCACACGCTCTGTGTCCCACTGCACAGCTGGGTCATCCGGGAAATCCCTGGAAGGAAGGAAGAAGCACAACTTGAACCTATTTTCTAATCAGCTGTGAACTTCTCCCTGAGCTCGGGTAGGTGTGTACCAGTCCTGAGATAGGGATTCTATGGGGGCAGGGGGGACGCACCCTTAGGTACCCAGCTTTGAGCGAAAAAGAGATTTAGAAGCGTGACGCAACTAGAAATCAGCGCACAATTTCACACGACACCCTTTCGGAGCTTTGTGCTCGCCGCTGCGGGGAGGAAACACACCGAAGACACAAGCTGGGGAGACATGTGGGTTAACAGCAAATGCGGACGCAGCAGAATGATAGGTAAGAACAATAGCAATAGCGCTTTAATAAAAAGTACGAAGCTGTGTTACTTCATTTAACCTCATGAACACCTGCTGAGGGAGCCTTTCAGATGAAGAAGACCCCTTGCAAGGTTGTTAGAGTTGGATTCGAACCCAGGTTTTCTGACTGCAAAGCGAAGAGGTGTTAGAATTTGGGGGCTAGAGGGGCGCCTGGGTGGCTTAGTCGGTTAAGCGTCCGACTTTCGCTTAGGTCATGATCTCGCGGTTCGTGGGTTCGAGCCCCGCGTCGGGCTCTGTGCTGACTGCCAGGTCAGAGCCTGGAGCCTGTTTCAGTCTGTGACTCCCTCTCTCTCTGACCCTCCCCTGCTCACGCTGTCTCTCTCTCTCTCCTAGATATAAATATTAAAAAAAATTAAAAAAAAAAAGATTGTGTTAAAAAAAAAAAGAATTAGGGGGCTAGAAACATCCTCTCTCCAATGGGGCTGTACCACGTGGGGCTGGTTTCAGGAGCAGAAGTCTCTGCAGATTAATCTGCACCTTATCTGTGTCTCCACTTGGCTGCGCCATAGGCCTGTCTCCTCCCACGTCTGTTTTTTGTGACTGATCTATGGCGTCACCTAACGTGAGGCCAGGGCCTCAATTTGAGGATGTTATTCATATTCTTTTTATTTACTTATTATTTATTAAATTTTTATTTATTTTCTTTTTTACGCATATTTTTTAAAGTTTATTTTGTGCGGGGCGGGGGCGGGGGATGGGGGAGAGCAGGAGCAGAGAGAGAGGGAGAGAGAGAATCGAAAGCAGGCCCAGAGCTGCTAACACAGAGTCCGACGTGGGGCTCGATCTCACGAGCCGTGAGATCATGACCTGAACTGAAATCACGAGTTGGACACTTAACTAACTGGGCCACCCAGGCGCCCCTATTTATCAAATTTTAAAATATAATCTCTACCCCCAACGTGGGGCTCAAACCCATGATCCAGAGATCAAGAGTTGCATGCTCCACCGACTGAGCCTGTCAGGTGCCCCTATTCATAGTCTTATAAATAGATATTCATCTCTCTTTGGCTCAGGTCGGGTGGCCACACCCACAATGGTACTGAGAGGACTCAGGCTCTTTGTTTCCCACCAGACAAGCTGCTATGACCTCTTTATGGACAAAGACCATTAACTGACCTTCTTCAGACTGTGGTTAAAGGAGAGTCACGGAATGTTTTTCAGCAGGAAAATGACATGAGCCTCAGCACTAAATAATGCAGGCATCTCCACTGCTTCGATGGCTACCTCTACCCAACCCCTAGGGTGGCTTCTACAAATGGCAGCTTTATGCTTTTCTAAGCACCGTCCCGCCAGCCATTCCATGCAATTCTCATAATGCTCCTGCAGCCAGAGCTCAGCCGGTGGGGGGACGGGTAGGGGGTAAAAGGAGAAGGAAAGACCAGTACAAAGTCAAAGTCCAGCCTTGCCCCCTGGGAATGGAGCTGAATATGGCACGGAGAACAAGACCTGCAGAGTGGAGACTGCTGGAGAGATACGGGAATCAGGGAAAGCACCGTGCAGTGAAAACCGCTACATACAGGCTGCTGGCGGGGAGGTCCACACAAACCTAGCAAGCCATCGTTTTGGAAAGTGAGTGCACGGATCATATTTCCCTGGGTGGAGAAGCAGTCTAAGAGAAAAGGTGGGAGATAGTTGCTATTCTAACTCTCAGTTCTGACGTGCTGAAAGAGGAATCCCTGAGTGGGAGAGCTCATCGCCACCTTTTGTGGATCTTCAGAGAAGTGGGATCTGCTATTCCAGGGCTCAGGTGCAACGCCCTTTGACCCAAGTGGATCATCTGGGGGGCTTTGGAATGTAAATATCCCTTCTGTAATCTGGTAATCGGGCAGCACTGCGTTAGTGATCAGATCCACACTCCTCTCTTGGGCAGGCATTCAAGATTTCCTCCATCTACCTCCCATTTTGATCCACCTCATTCTTCTTTATTTGAGGGAGCAAATAAGATAACACATGAAACCTGTAAAGGGATATGTAAATGTCAGCATAGTGGCTGGTATTGGAGCGTTAGCCCAGGCCCTTTCAAAAAAAAAAGAAAGAAAGAAAAAGTAAGAAAGAAAGAAAGAAAGAAGGAAAGAAAGAAAGAAAGAAATCCCCCATCCTCCATCCCTCCTGCTCAGGAAGCTCCTTACAGAGCTCTTTGCTGATTGCCTACATTTATGGGCAATGGTTTCAAAGTGGATGTAGGCATCCAAGGAGATGTATGAGATGATACACTCAGGTAAAGCAAGAAATCACTACTAGAATGTCTATGTTTTTCTATCTGTTTACATTGCTAATTTGCAGCTTTTTTTCCCTAAGTTTATTCATTTTGAGAGAGAGAGAGAGAGAGAGAGAGACATGAGTGGGGGAGGGGCAGAGAGAGCTGGAGACAGAATCCCAAGCAGGCTCCGCACTGACAGCTCAGAGCCAGATTCAGGGCTTGAACTCACAACTGTGAGATCTGACCTGAGAGCTGAGATCAAGAGTCAAATGCTTAACTGACTGAGCCACCCAGGCACCCTTGCAGCTATTTTTATAAGGCATCATATACTAACATAGTTTAACATGTATACAATTTAAATAAGTCCATAAATATTAGAAGTGCATACTCAAATTTCATTTCTTTTTTTAGGCAATAATAGTCAAAAATGCTTGGAGATCACTGGTCTAATCTATTTGCCCTACATTTTCCTTTTTGTTTCTAGATAGTACCCCGCCCCCCAGATATTTAAGAACAACTTTATTGAGGCATAATTTACATAATATAAAGTTCACCCATTTTAAATGTACAATTTTGTGACTTTCTAGTAAATATATGGAATTTGTACATTTTATTTTACTAGTGTTTTGTGTATATTAAATTCTTGATTCTCCAACTCATTATATTCCCTGATGGCCAGATGTTACATGAGCCATTTAATGGTCAGGGTTCAGCTAGGAAAACAGAAACTGCCAGTTGTGGGGCACCTGGGTGGCTCAGTTGGTTAAGTGTCTAACTCTTCATTTTGGCTCAGGTCATGCTCTCATGGTTTGTGAGATGGAGCCCCTCATTGGAGCCTGCTTGGGATTCTCTCTTTTTCTCTCTCTCTCTGCCCTTCCCTTGCTTTCACACACACTCTCTCCCTCAAAATAAATAAAATACATTTTTATTTATTTATTTAAAAAATTTTTTTTAAATGTTTTATTTATTTCTAGGAGAGAGAGAGACAGCGTGAGCAGGGGAGGGTCAGAGAGAGAGGGAGTCACAGACTGTGAAACAGGTTCCAGGCTCTGAGCTGGCAGTCAGCACAGAACCCGACGCGGGGCTCGAACCCACGAACCGCGAGATCATGACCTAAGTGAAAGTCAGACGCTTAACCGACTAAGCCACCCAGGCGCCCCCCGAAACCACCCTTAAGTTTGATAATTTGCTAGAAGGACTCACAGAACTCAGTGAAAGCTATATATGTACAATTCTAGTTTTTTACAGGGAAAGGATACAGATTAAGTCAGCCAAAGGAAGAGATGTGTAGGGCAGAGTCTGGGAGGGCTCTAAGTGTGGATGATCTGTTGTCCTCTCCCTATGGAGTCAGGACCCATTATTCTGCCAGCATTGATGTGTGACCACACACACGGGGTACTACCAACCAGGGAGGCTCCCCAGAGTGCTGGGGTTCAGGGTGTTTACTGGGGCTCCATTACTTAGCATGATTGATTGACTCTCTATGTGGTTGATCTCAGTCTCCAAGCAGATGGACACTGCATGTCCCAAAGCCCCGATCCTAAAGCCCTAAAGATACTGCTATCGGCTTTGATACCGATAACTTCACAGAAGTCAAGGGCAAGGGTAAGATCCCTCTATGGGCAAAGCCAAATTCTTTACTATAAACCTTCCTTGCATTTAGGGACTTTATTGAACTTCTCTCCCCTCTTAGCACCTCATTAGATATAGTATTCTAGGGGCACCTGGGTGGCTCAGTCGGTTAAGCGTCTGACTTGGGTTCAGGTCACAATTTTGCAGTTTGGTTCATGAGGTCGAGGCCTGCGTCGGGTTCTGTGCTGACAGCGCAGAGCCTGAAGCCTGCTTTGGATTCTGTGTCTCCCTCTCTCTCTCTGCCCCTCCCCCAAACACACTGTGTCTCTCTCTCTCAAAAGTAAATAAACATTAAAAAACCAAAACATATAATCTTCTAGTATTTCCTATCGCTTTGTGGTGTGTCTCCCTACCTACAGTCAAAATATGAGGACAGACCTGCATCTCTTGCTCTTCTATTTCTTTTCTTTCCTCTTTTTCTTGCTCTTCTATTTTGTATGTGGAACTTGGTACAATCCAAGTCAAAGAACAATTTATTTAAATTAACAACAATAAATAACTGAGTCACTGCCATGGGCAAGGGACGGCATTAAGGGGATTAATTGGTACCAGCTGGTTGACGGAAGTAGCCTCTATTTGGCCGAGCCCGAGGCAGCTCTCCCAGCCTTTGGGGGTTGGAACCGACAGGGAAGAGCTCTGGAAGATAGCAACTTTAGAAAACAGATGGGGCACCAAAAAAAAAAAAAAAAAAAAGTATGAATCCCTGACCGGAGCAAGGCATCCCGGTGGGATCACCTCCCTGCAAGGCAGGGAAATATCAAGCTTGACATTGGGAACCTTCACACAGATACCAAGGTGACTCCTTTCAGCCCAACTAC